GGACAGGTTTCCTGCTATAGAGGTGCAGACTTGCAGCCTGTTCTTCCCTTTACTTTATGGCTTACATCATAATTGCATGTGCAAACAGAATGCTTTGACGTCTTTTTCCAACTGCAACATTTGCATGAGTGCAGCACTGCCAAGTGAGAGCAATTTTACTGGCTAAATACGCTGTAGAATAAAAAGGAGGCAGCTCATGCTTTTGGTGGTGTTTGTCATGGTCCTTCCATGAAGAAAGTAATTTCCTTATGCCCCTACTATGCTGTAGTAAGTAGTTTTGTCTTGTTTCTGTGTGAAGGAGGAAGCAGTGATCGTGGCCTTAGTGCCATCTTTCTAAATTGACGTTAATACACAGCACCATTCTGGGCCACGTTGGCTGGATTTGACTGATGTATGTAAACTACATGTGTTTGAACTTCCACTTTCCTTTAGGTTTTGCTGGGCTTTTTCTCAGACATAAAGGTTTGCCTTTAGTAAGTGCAGTGAGAGGCAGCCTTATTTTAGCCTAGCCATTAAGTGGTCCTTCAAGCCAGTATAAAACAAAACATCTGGAAGGGTAAGTGCTTAGGTCTTTTATATGTGCATTTTTGTCTTGTCAAGATTCAGCTGAGCAAATTTGCTTCCTCACAGCTGGGGAGCTTGTGTTGCAGCAACCTTTTATAGTCATCCAAAATACTGAGTGCACCAACTGTGCAATACCATCAATTTTCTGATGATTATGATGATGATTATTTACTGGTTTTCCCCTTTAGATCTTATAGCCTTTGGTTTACCTGCTCCACAAGAGAATGCAATAGGAATTTGTAGAAAAGGAAATCAGCTTCTGCCAGCTGGGAGGTTTGAGAGTGTTTCTCTGCATTGCTATGTGCATGAAGGCATGGATGGGTGGTTAAATGTGCAAAGCATGAGTTTGCATTATAGTTGGGATGGAATTTGGAGCATGATGTGCTCTGAACATTTGAAGACCTGGGAGTTTCACTGAAGCAGCACCTGAGTAAAAGGGCACAAAGGCAGTTCATCTCTTGTGTACTGTGAGGAGGTGGGTTGGGGTGAGCAGGAAGGTGGTCATTTCTTCTTTCCTGGAACCGTTACCTTCAGATGCTGAGTGACCAGGGAATCAGTGAACTTGGTAGCCTCACAGCACTGCTAAATAGTTGAAGAGAGCAAAGATATATTCTTTTTAGGTTTTTAAAATTATTTTCTTCTTTTGTTACAACAGTTGTCTTTAATTTAATCTACCCAGTTTCTTCCTGATAGAAACAGAAAATCAGGATTTTGTGCTGCTAATCTAGAGAAGTTGTACCCATCACCGTCTTTTAATAGTATATGAAGAGCAGAGCATGCAGGACTTTCTCCATTGTGAGATAGCACAGAATGACAGAACAGCAATTTAAAATTACTGAAGGACATTTTTAAGATAGATGTTTACCTAGTTATAATAAGCTGTTCTGCTGCACATGTTTTGTGTACCTCACTTCAAGTTATATCAGTGAAAAGACTGTAGAAAGCACTTGGCACATGTGCTTCTCTAAGTACAGGAAAATGGACCAGTGCTCATGGACAAAACCACAGTGTATAGGACAAAACCACATTTTCCAAAGTAGTGCATTGGGACCTCTTGGTTGCTTTTGTAGTCTGGTTTAAATTTCCTCTGAGACCACTATGAATTCCTTAGCTTGGAAACTTAGGTACTCTGTCAGAGTGTCACCACAGATGGCAAACAGAATGGTGGAATCTGCAAGGAGCATCCTGAATAAGTTCCTCCCAGACATTTATATCTACACAGATCATATGAAGGGGATCAGCTCTGGAAAGTGAGTATCCAGTATTCACAGGGGATGATAATGTAATTCTGCATTTGTTCAACTGCTAGGGTATTCTGATCTGTAATTTTACTGAGTTTTAGACCATGATCTTCTATTCTGCTGACTTGAAATAAGTGTTCCTCACAGGGGAAGAATTGAATTATTCATTAGATATGTTAGTTTTACTTGGTAGTACAAGGAGGATAGAAGTTGTGCATTTTCATAAGCAGGGAATATAATAAATTGGTACTGCCACTAAAAGCAACTTGAGCTCCCTTCAGTTTTAAACTTGTTGCTTTGAAGTGAGATTAAGATCAGAGATGCCATGGTATGTTGTGAAAACCAACATTCAAACTTGACTGTACATCTTCTGATGGAAATGGTAGTATTAAGGATGGGAGCAAACTGTTTTTGAAAGGGCTTGAGCTGTAGGGGTGTCCTAGTTTTGTGGACAGAATTATAGAATAAGTTTTCTGTTGAGGAAAACTGCACTTTTGTAAGGACTGCAACACTATTTCAGTGATTTCAGGGGACAAAGTGATAAAACTTTGTTAAAGGTTTCAGTTAGGACTGACATGCAGGTTGCCATAGTGCTCAAGGTATTCAGTGGTCTTGAGATAAACAGATGCAAAGGCTGGGGAGAGTAGTAACCTAGGGGAGTCAACCCCAAGCTGACCAGTTAATGCCATTCATACCATAAGTGTCACATTCACTATAAATGGGGGAGCTTGCTGGAGACAGCCCTTATTCCTTCTGCTCTGCCTCTTCCTCTACCTCCTGCTCCCTCTTCTATGGCTGACATCTCGAGAGAGACTTATTTACTGTCCTAGCCCTGAGGCCTACTCCCCCACAATATTGGCTGAGTTATTAGTATTAGTTGTTGTTTATTATTATTACTTCATTTTATTAAATATATTTCTGTTTCAACCCACGAATCTCCTTTCCTTTTCCCGACCCCCCTCCCTGGGTTGGGAGGAGGCATTGAGTGATAGAGCAACTGTATAAACCGTGACAATGAGTTGTCTTTCTGCTTTACCATAACATAAACATACATCAACAGCTCAAGGAGTGGCCTTTCACCAGTGAGTACTGGAAAACTGAGACATTAATTTACTGTACTTCCACAGGTTTTGTTTGCCAGCAGAACACAGAAGTGATGGGTGCAATTCAGACACTTTTACTGATATCTGTGAGCTTTGCTGTCGTCCTGTCACTTTTTGTGGTTGAAGATGATCTGGACAGCTAATTTGTTTGTCTTTTGTCCGTATGCTCAAATTGAAGCAGGCACATTTTCTGTTAACTGTTTCTGTTTTCTTTGAGGTAATATTTAAAAAAAAATGTTAGGTTTGCAAGTTTACAAATGTAAAAATTTTTGACCCACTTTTAGAGATTTTTCCTCTTTTCCAATCCTTTACCATAGTTACTATCCAAGTTTAGTAAGTCATGTGACTCCAGACCATTAACAGTGATCAGAATTGTGAAAACTTTTTTGGGAGCTGTGTGGTTTTGGCGTCCTATTTTGTTTCTTATCTGTCTGTAATGTGAAAAAGTCAAATGAAGTGGGGCAGCAGCATTTCATTTACTGCTGACATGGGTAGCCCATGCAGAGGGATAAATAATAGCATTGGAGGAGAAACTGAATCCCTCTCCACCTTGCTGGTGCATGTGGCTTTCTGATGCCGCTGTGCTGTCACATTCACCATAGTGTGGTGCCAGTACGACTGCAGTGTCCCTGATTGTGTCACTTTGGTGAATCTTTTTCTATTACCTGGTGGGGCGGGTGTGTGTGTCTTAGCAGGACAAGGAATGACAGTATGCCTCATTGTTTCCAGTGTTGCCTCTGAAGATGAGTGAGATCAGCAAGGACTAGTTCAGCCCATCTGTGCCCAAACCAAAACAAGCCCGAATTTCAGCGTTGAATAAAGCGTTGAGCTATAGGCCTTCACTGGTGCCAAAAGCTTCAGGAAAAGCATTATTTGAGCATCTTCTGCCACCTATAATGTATCTTTAAACAAAAATTTCCTGGTTCTGCTTTGCGCGTTTGCAGCAAAAAAGTTTGTCCGTGCAGATACTTTCTAATACTGTTTGCACATACATGAGGCACTGGATTATCTTAATTTTTATTTAGGCAGATTGCCACATGCTACTAAACACTAACAAAATCTGCCAGGGAACATAGTTATTAAAGGATACTTGTCCAAAAAATAACATCTTTGACACTGTTCTTGTCTTGCTGTTTAGCGCTCCCTCTCTTTCAGAGAGAGGAGATTAGAGGAACATCTTTAACATGCCTTCTGTGTTGCTCAGCAAGCGCAGGCAGTTAAATATGGGTGGGAACCACTGATATAGTTTGGTTCCCACCCTACTAAAATGCCTTTAGAGCAATTGTTGTTTTTCTGGTACTGAGAGTGTGTGTGTGTGTGTGTGTGTGTATTGGTGTTTGGGCTTTGTTGATGTTGGTGACATTCCTTACAGTTTTGGGTCAGTGGTGCTCTTTTTAATTAAGAAGTTTGAGTGGTGGAGGCAGAGTGAGTCTAGAACTGTGTGAAATCCTGTATGTGGAGTAAAGTTAAGTTGCCTTTATTTTGAATGGCAAACTATTGGTGCTCTTCTAGAGCCTATAAATAAGAGGAACTTGTAATTTTTTTTCCTTCCTTACAACTTTCTGATTTCTCAGTGAGCTGTGCTCAGCCATCAATGGCTTTTCTGTAGCAAAAGTGTTTCTTAACTCTCAAAATAGCATTTTGTAGGATCCTAAGCTCTTTGGAAAATAAAATTGTTTGTTTGTTCAAATCATGTGTTCATAATTCTTACATGGTTGTAATGATTTGGATAGTATTGAACTGAAAGCAAAAAGAAACAATTAGAAATACAAGTAATGTGGATCAAACTTTTATATTTTTTTAAATTCTCCTGCTTGGTGCCATGGCTATGGTCTAATCTTGCTAAATAGTGAAGCTTCCAGGGA